ATCGTCAAGCCCCTCGCTCCCCCTACTGTAATAATAATAATTATAATAATATTATTATTAATAAAATATTAACAAACAGAGATGATTGCCATTTGTTATGTTATTATAATAACAATTGGCAGATCGCCGACCACGACAATTTGTGCTTCTTCGGGTCAAATGGATGTGATCAGTATTGTGGATGTGAGAGTGGATATACCCTTCAAAACAATTTGTGTGTATCGACTGCATGCAAAAACAACGACAAACTTGGCACAGAACAATGTAAACGAAATGATTATGGTTGTGCAATAAATTGTTATTGTGACGCTTCAAATGGCTTCTTTTATAATGAGACTTCTTTAAAATGTCAATCAATTAATTGTGGAAATTATCAAATTGATGAAGTTCGTTGGGGAACAAAAAGTTCCAAATATGAAGAAGTTTGTTTTTCAATAGTTTCAATAGTATAGTTAATAGTATAATTAATTATAAAACAATTAATAATAAACAACCTATTAAATACACTACAATTAACAATAAACTAAAAAATAGTGTGATAGTGGCTTGAACTGTAACGATGAATGTACATGTATAGACGGATATATCACCAACCATGAAAACAAGACATCGTGCATACAAAAAACAATAAGTGGAGGAGCAATTGCTGGTATTGTTATAGGAGGGAGTGTTAGTTTAGTTATTGCTATAACAATTATAGTAATTGTAATTCTGATGATAATGAATTACAAACAAATAGATATCGAAATGTTTAAACAACAACAACCGATGTACTATTTCTATATCAATGGTTCAGTCAATTGTAGTTGTAACAAAGATTCAAAATATGAGATTGATCCAGAACAACTTGACTTTGGAAACTCCACAAGTGCGACAGCCATAATGGACACACGATTCGAAAAGATAAATATTAGAAACAAAAGTAAAAACAAATATATGATGATCATATTTCACACACCAAATAGTCCAAAATATGTGTTTCACTTTGAGCCACAAGTCATCATAATGCGACCAAGAACAAGTCGTCTTGTCACGTGTTATGCCACTTTATTCTGTACAACTAAATTGCGAGGGATGAAAATCCCATACACAGTTTGGTTCTCTAAAAGTCGAGGAACTCTCAATGAAATAGCTCTGTTATTGAAAGACAAGAACTTTGATATATGGAATAGTGATGACCAAAAAATGATGGACAAACTCTCCAAAAACGTATTAAAAAGATTCCACCACAATTTTGTAATAATCACCGATGCTGCAAGTTCGACGCACATCGATATGGATGAATTGTCTATCTCTGAAAAGCCGATAGCTGAAGGAGCGATGGGACGGGTGTTTATGGGAAATTATCGGAGTGTTCCAGTCGCTGTCAAACAGTTCCGATGGGAGAATTTAAATGAAGATGAAGTTGCTGAGTTAAAGAAGAATGTAGTTGCTGAGTGTGAGATCATGAGTAAGTTACGAAATCCGTTTATAGCAAGTTATATGGGGTCTGTCACATACATCCCACAGGTGTCAATGGTCATTCAATTCTTTATTTTAGGATCACTTGGTGAATATCTAAGAAAAGAGAAAGAAGATTATGTCAATATTCCATACAAACTAAAAGTTAGAATGTTATTTGACACATCACGTGGAATGCAATTTTTACATGAAAATCGAATTATGCATTTGGACTTGAAACCAGACAATTTATTAGTCAATTCGTTGGATTCTAATAGTGCATGTTCTATTAAAATTACCGACTTTGGGACTTCACGATTCACTAAAAAATCTATTAAAAACAGTGAAGACAAAGGACTTGGCACACCAATCTATGCAGCACCCGAGACTTTTAGAGATGAATATACTTTTGCTGGTGATGTCTATTCATTTGCTATAACAGCGTGGGAATTGTTTTACCAAGAAGAACCGTATGTACAACTGAAATCGATATTTGATATCAAAAAACATGTTGAAGAAGGAAAGAGACTTTCCTTCGATCAAAATATCCCATTTTTATATAAAAATTTAATAGAGGAATGTTGGAGAGCCGACCCGAAAGATCGCCCTTCTTTTGACCACATATGCAACAGTATCGTAAGAATAGACGAAGACGTCAACAACCATTTAGAAGAAGGAAATCAAAATGAACGGATAGTTGAAATTGTAAACAAGCGAACTGACAGAATACAAAAGCAGATTAATAATATTACAGATTAATTTAAACAATTAATAATTGGTATTTATTATTATAAGTATAGTATACCAACCAAATGCATGAATTGATAAATCATATACAATGGTTTTAATGAGGGTTTTATTTTGAAAACATAGAGTCAGCCAAATGATCATGTTATTGAAAAAAACTTAAAAAACAATAAAATAGTGAATATTAATAAGTACAATAATAAATAACAAAACAATATCATTTATACTAAATGATAAAATGAACAAAAAGAAAACGATGTTTTATATTAAACACAAAGTTGTTTTTACATTAATTTGAAACAGGGTCTATCACGGAACAGGGAAAAATTTGGAACTTGTCCCAAAAATGCTTTTTAAAATGAAAAGGGGTATATTTTCTTTGTTTTTATGACAAAAATAAAGTAGTTTTAGTAAAATTCATAGTATTGTTTGTTTTTGCGATCTTCAAAATTTTTTCTTTACAGATGGTAACTTTTTGCCACGGTCGTTTTTTTACTTAAAACGACAGTTAACAACAAAACTATAAAATATTAAAATGTATAGTATACAAATTAATGGTTTATTAATATAATATTTATACTATACAAAATAAAACTATTAATTATAATTGATAATATTATAAAATATTAGAAATTGTTTAATAAAGATGAAATAATAATTTAATTGATTAAGATAAAATTTGTTATTAACTATACTTTTCTTAAAATATAGTTAAATGAAATTACTCAAAAATTATTGCTTTTTGGAATTAATTATTCAAACATCGAACACTTGTTTATATTATTTTGTTGATAATCAAGAGTTTTACATACCATGGGCTAACCAAAAGATATATAACACAATTTAAAGTTGTTTAATTCATTCTTTTGTTTTAAAGTAAACAAATCGACAAACAGAATCGTAACTTGCATAATTTGATAAATGTAACGAGTCTGTTTATCCATAACACATAACAAAAAAGAAGCCTTGGTTAGTCAATGATAGAATTTTTGCAGTATTTTTTCAATATAATTTTCATTATTACATATTAAAGTTATTATATATTTTACTATGTTTCATAGTTTAATTTTTTATTAAAAACAGTTTTTAATAAAACAGTTATGGCTGTTCAGCGACTTATGATATTACTGAGAAGTCGGCGATTTTTAAAATCCCTTCAAAAGTCGCCAACTTCTTTTAGAACTAAATAACTATTAACTTTAATAAATTATACCATATTCATTATTGTCCCAAAAATGTTTAAAAACACAATAGTTGTTATAATTTGTTATATTATAATCATATAAATATAATTTAAAAAATGATTTGAGAAGATATAATTGGGACAGTATTGTTTCATTTTATTTTTTAATAATAATTCTATTAAATTTATATGGTTTATTTTTTGAATTCCTTTTACATGATAAATGGTATTTTGAATAGTTATTTGACTAAATATTTTGGTCAGCAACTTTTAAGACAACTAAAAAGTCGGCGATTTTCGAAGGGACTATAAAGTCGCGAACAGCTATTAGTTTGTATTCTTTAGATTTATAAGAATAGAAAAATGTATATAATAGTTTAATTAATTAACTATTATTACTAATTGAAAAATTAAATTTTCTTAAATTATATAAAATATTAATTTAAATAATTAAAATTATAAATATTTAGTTTTATAATAATAAAACAATAAAATATTTATAAAAATAAAATATTATATTTATAGTAATTTTACCAAAGAAAAATAATAAACCAATAAAAATTATTATTATTTTATAATATTTATCAAATAAAAAGTTTTAAAATTTATTTTAGTAATTTTAAAAATGTTATAGAGTTGTTTTAAATAATATATAATTACATAATCAAAATTTATTGTTTTATTAAAATTTTTTATAATCTAAACATATTTTGTAATATAGTAAATAAAATAATTAATGAAATTAACTAATAAAATTATTTTTATAAAATTGAGTCTGTTTATATAGATTAGTCTAAATACAATTTAATAATATAACTGAGGTATCATGTTTATTATCACATACATACTACAATAAAATACACAAAGTAGTTAAATAACATTTTGCATGATTTTTTTCATTTTCAACGCGTTTTCAGATCATGTATAACTAAAGTTGAGCATTTTAATGAATTTGCAAATTCAACTTATATTTACCACTTTAAAAACATGATTATTCCTTTTATTTACCAAAATTTAACAATTGTCTTTTTATCCTAAATATGATTATTACTAATTTTAAGTTATATTCAATATAAAAAATATAATATATGATTTTATAATTTATAGTATATTTAAGTAAATTTAGACCATAATATAATTACATATTTATATAATATTTGAAATTTATGATATATTAATATATTTATAATATATACTTTTTAATGAAAAACATAATTTAATTATATGATAAAAAATAATACTATTATTAAAACCAATACTATAAATATATAAAAAGTATAACTTTTGTATTTTATTGTCTTCATTATCTTAAAAATTACAAACATATGCAAGACTCAAATATCAACAAACGTTTTGAAGAATTCCGCACTTATTACACTTTTGAGATAAAGGCGCAGCTTCCCGAACATTGTTTACGTGAATTTCATTATTGTATTTTCTGTGGAAAAATGTTAATAGACGCAAATATGTCAAACACGCTGTAGAAGCAAAACCCAAAGAAACAAACAAATTTAAAAGTGTTCACAATTTTAAATTTTTTGATGAGAATTTCGACAAATTTAATTTGATTGCGCTCAATAGTCAGCTTGTCGAAGAAGAAAAAAAGTCAAGTGGTTTGACTGATAATGAAATGGACCTCTCACCAAATATTTATAGAGGTGCCGATTTATTGAAAGCGAGGAAGGAACTTGAGTCACAATTGAGACAAACAAGTTACACTACATTTGAGGACCTTAAGAAATATTTATTGAAAGGATTGGAAGAAACTGTTCGTGTTCTTCCACTCATCGATTATCAAAATTTCCAAATGAATATTTCTGTTTTACACAGCGAGTCAACACAAGAAGCACTCGACAATATCAGTAAAAGTTTTGATGTTCCTATTATAAATTGTGAAGATGTTGTTTCACAAAATTCAACTGGTATTATAGACTCTAACACTGAACCACAAACTCTGTTGTTTCAAATGCCACTCATCTAACCGTTCAAACAGGAAATGCGACACATGTTGATTATAGCCAGGCCACCGACAACGAATCTCAAAATACCAACGATTCGACCAAAGAAGAAATAAAATTTACTGTGTTTGAGATTGAACAATTGAAAATAATGAAATACATCAAAAATCTCCTCAAACCAAAGAATAAATACTCCACCGAGTACATCGCACAAGAAACAAACAAAGAAGTACAAAGGCGACTTGGTAAAAATGTTGACAGTTATTCAACAACAAATGATGCTGTAAATGAAAGAGGCAGCTTTATAACAATGATGGCTGCGTTGATGATGGGAGCATGTGGGTTGACAAATAATCAAATTGATGCCATGTCAAAATTAATTTCCATAATTTTGCTCATGTCCAATGTTCCCAAAAAAGTCGTTAACACCGCTCTCAGTTCTTCATCTATGCAACGGAGATTTGAGTTAATTTCGAAAAAAAAACCAGATATGACCTACAACTAATCTTCAAGCAGTGTGACTATTATACATTAATGGCCGATTCAGCAATGTACAGTGGTGTTGAATACTTTTCTCTCTTTGTAAGATTCGTGTTTTCAGATGGATCATTTGAAGAAAAAAGAGTCAAAATAGAAAACTATGATGGCAAAACAGATGCTGCGGGGTGGCTCAGTTGGATAATGAAAATATTGGAATTGATGGATGCTGACCTCATCAAATGCATTGGTGCTTGTTTTGATGGAGCTTATGTTCTGATACGAAATGGTGGGCTCTCTGGTAAACTCCTGGCTAAAATAAAAGAGAGAGACGGGCTGAACGGATTTGATTCAAACTACTGCTTTTCACACAGAACAAATAAAGCGACTGAAATGTGTTTTGAATCGCAATGGGGACTGACTATTGAAAGTTTCTTGGACGGGTTAACTGTTCAGACAACAAGAACAGCATGGGATCAATTCTGTGCCAAAAATCATATCAAAGGTGCAGTTCTCAAATTGGTTCAACGATCCGAAACAAGGTGGCTCCAAACAGTATTGATTCTTGATAATATGTTTGAGAATCTGCCTTCACTTCAAGACTTTTACAGTGAAAGAGAACAATACCAAAAGCCTTTTGGACCTCGCAACATTATGGGTGAGTGTAATGTCAACTGCAAATTGTTTGTTGCGTGTATGTTCTTCACTCAAATAGTGCTCAGTAAGGTGAAGATAATTAACGATTGGCTACAGACCGCCAATTTACTATACCCCGTGGCCTATCAACGTGTTGAAGATTTAATTTCGAATATCTTCGAGCTCAGACGAAAAGTAGTGTTAACCGATTATTTAGAAAAAATGAAATAAACTGAAGATCTTGACGACAACAAAAAATTCATTTTGAAAAAGTATTCAATTCACCTGCTCCTTAAGTTGAGTGACGCGATGTTTTTGAGGTTTGCAATTCCTTCAAGAAAAATGACCAAAGAAGACCTTTTCGATGCTGGTTTGTTGAAGGAGAACCAGGTCAAAGGAACAAATATGGCAAATTTCGGGAAATTACAAAGAAAACTCTAAGGAAAAGAATTGGTAATAAACATCAAAATTTACAACAACTTTGATGCAAAATTATTCGAGGAAAGTGATGACCAAGAACTAAAAGCAGAAGTTCAAAAGTTTCAAGATTGGTACTGTGCCATCATTGAAAAAGTCGAAGAAATTGCAAACAGGTTGGAAAAGGAAGAAAGTGTTGATGCTACTGAGGTGATACGTACTCTTGTTAAACAAGTGAGATTAACAAGTACAGATCAAACAGAAGCAACAGATATCGCTGAAGATTGCAGCAGTAGTGAAATTGTGAAAGAAAAGAGAGCAAACGCCATTCAACACAGAAAGCAAATAAGGGCTTTATTCAAAAAAGAAGCAGAAGATTTCTTAAAAAGTTGCCCAGTCAAAAAACTAACTTTGAACACCTTGTTTGCTTTGATGAGTCAAGAAGAAAAGAATCAATTCCCATGTTTATTCAATCTTGTGAAAAAGATGAATGCTAAGAGTCCAACCACTTGCACCAGTTGAAAGATCTTTTAATAAAATTGGACAACTTGAAAGAGCAAACATGAGCGTTAAAAAGAAAGTTGCTTACATGGATGTTGGGGATGCTCTGAAAAACTAATTACCATTTTTAATTCGATTTGTTTAAATGAATATTTTTATATAAAAAACAGTCAAAAAAGCTCAAATATTTCGGGTTGGTTTTTTATTGATAAAACAGTCTTAAAAATTGTAATATTTCGGGAAGGGGTTTTACTATAATAAAAATCATTTTCAACAATATCAAATAAAAGTATAAAACGACCCACCCATCACCGTGAACGGGCAGGAAGGAGGGCTATTGGAATGATTAAGGAATCAACCGACATCCTTTTTCTAAACCTCACCCTCTAATTTAAATAAAATTATACTATAAATTAATAAATACATACATTTTTTAATATTATGGGTAATTAATTATACAATAACTAATATTAATCATATAATATACTAAATAATTATAATTTAATTTTTAAGATCTAATTTATAATAAATTTAATTATATTATTAAAACTATAATTTAAAATCAAAGGTATTTATCAAATCAAGCAGGTTTACTTTTTGAGAAAACTATGTTTTACAATGATAAACCATTTAAAAGAGATTTATGTCAAGTCGTTTGAAACTGAAGGAGACTTGTTAAAAATAAGCCTCACGGACAGCGAGAGGCTTATTGGCGATGCAGCGAAGAACCAGATTGCGATGAATGTGAAGAATACAGTCTTTGATGCAAAGAGACTGGTTGGAAGACGCTTCAGTGATCCAGCAATTCAAGAAGATATGAAGCACTGGTCATTCACTGTCGTCAACAATGGCAATGACAAGCCACTAATTCAAATGGAATACAAAGAAGAGACTAAGAATTTCACATTAGAGGAGATCAGTTCGATGGTGCTGACGAAGATGAAGGAGACGGCAGAAGCGTTTGTTGGTGGGAAAGTCAACAACGCAGTCATCACATGTCCAGCCTATTCAATGACTCACAGCGACAGGCAACAAAGGAAGCAGACACAATTGCAGGCATCAATGTGCTCAGAATCATCAATGAGCCAACTGCCGCTGCTATTGCTTATGGACTCGACAAGAAGGTCGACAAAGAAAAGAACGTCTTGATCTTCGATCTTGGAGGAGGAACATTTGATGTCTCACTTCTTGCTATTGATGATGGCGTCTTTGAAGTGAAGGCAACAAAGTGCAACACACACCTTGGTGGCGAAGACTTTGATAACAGAATGGTCAACCACTTCATTGCCGAGTTCAAGAGAAAGTACAAGAAAGACATTTCAAGGAATGCACGAGCAGTCAGAAAACTCAGAACATCGTGTGAAAGGGCAAAGCGAACACTGTCAAATGCAGCAACAGCAAACATCGAAGTCGACCAGTTGTATGAAGGCATCGACTTCTACACGTCACTCACAAGAGCACGTGGAGTCCCATAGTTGAAGTCACATTTGACATTGATACAAATGGGATTCTGAATGTCTCAGCTGAAGACAAGACAACAAGAAAGAAGAACAAGATCACAATCACTAACGACGAGGAAAGACTCTCAAAGGTACCAATCAACAAGGTGGTTGCAGACGCAGAGAAGTTTAAGGCAGAGGACGACAAGATGAAGGAACGTATCGAGGGGAAGAATGGACTTGAAAACTTCTGCGACTCGATGAAAAACACACTCAACGAGCAAATTGCAGCAAAGCTCTCACCAGATGACAAGGCGGCAATTGAAGCAATTATCAAGGAGACACTCGACTGGCTCGACAAGAACCAATCGGCATCAAAAGATGAATACACACAGAAACAGAAGAAGCTGAGGCTAAGGTAGAGCCAATCTTCATACAGATATCGACAGAATAAAACTGGTAACATGTCTGGTGCACAACAATGGGGTGCAAAGAAGAGCGACACAAAGGGATCAAAGATAGAAGAGGTCGACTTTTGTGATTTACTTGTCTTAACAAAGTTATTCGAAGTGACCCAAAAAAACTAATTTAAATTTGAATTAGTTTTTTAACTATTAATTTGTAACAAAAGTACTTGTTGTTTTGCGTTTGTCCATTATTAAATGTATTTTTGGAAATAATTATATTTTTTGATAGTAAATTAATAATAAAAATATAACTCTTTATATAGTTTTAAAAACACAATAGACACAACAAAAAGAATAATTTTATACACAGGAGGACGTCCTTAATAGCGGGAGGACGTCCTTAACCCACAAATTATTTATTTCCCCTATATTCCCATTCTTCTTCATCATGTCCATTTTTTTTCTTATTCGAATAAAATATATTATATTATTATTACGTATATTATACATAATAATATATTATTATGTATTATAATGGATTATAATATAATATACAATATATTTTATTGTAATTTGATAAAACTTGAATTTATTTTTTTGTTCAGAAATGCGTTTTTTGTTTGTATATTAATAATAAAAAAACATATTTGGGTCATGATATTTATTTTGGAAATAATTCCACAGTTTTATAGTCGATAAATTGGTGAAAAGTATTTTTGTAATAACAAGATAAAAATAAATCTCTTTTACCACAAATGAACAAATAGCTTGGAAAATATAACCTTTTACCAGTTTATTAAGTTGAAAAAGATGCTTAAAAAGATTAATTTAAAAAATGATGTTGTTTTTAGTTAAATAGGAAGACAATAAGATGGTTTTATTATAGTTTATTTTAATTGATTATTAATTAAATTTTTTGATGCTTTATTTGACTAAATATAAATTTCAAATTCCAAAACGGGTTTGTTTTCATTGTCAATTGATAATTCTTTTTGCATTTTTTTGTATTTAATTTAAACATAAATAATACTAACAAACGGGCTTTTTAAAGTATTTTTAATTTGTGACGGCATTTGATAAAATTAAGTTGTCCCTCTTAAATAGAGTGTTTTTCATAAAAAAAATAACACCATTTTGTTGTGGATTATAAATAATTTATCAATAAAACAGTCATGTTTTACTTAATTTTTGAAGAGAAAATGAATTAATAACAATAGTTACATAACCATAATAAATAGTTTGTAGAATTAAGACTAAAATAAAATTTGTGAATTAAAAACTAAGTTTATTTTAACCCTTCGAAGACGGGAAAAATCAAAATTTGTAAAAAATAAAAATCTTAGTCAATTGTAATGTAAATGTGACCTTTTTTTCTTTAATTTTTTCAAAAAAAGCTAGACACCCTGGAATGACGGCTCTAGTATATTTTTATAGTAAATTGTTATAAATTATAGTAAAAAAGTGAATTTTTTGTTGAAGTTGGGATGAACAAAGGTTCACTTTTTTGCTTGATCTTTTCAGAAACAAGTCACAGTTCAATGGAAAAGTCAGATCAAAAATTTATTGAGATGTCCACAATCTCTTACGATAATAAAATTAATTATAAAATATAACAAAGACCAAATTGCATCATAAAACATACTGGTCTGGAATATTCAAAATCAATTACATCATAAAATAACATAGAAAAATAATAAATAACAGACTTTGAGGTGTCTTGAAATTTCATTATGCAATTGATCTCAAAAACAATAACAATGGAAAATAAATAGATTTTTTGTAAACTTTGAAAAATACAAAAATTAAAAAAATTGGGTTTTGCTATTTTTTGTAAAAGAAATAAGATAAGACGAAAAGACACTTTTGTTTGTTCCGACTTTGAAAAAAAATCTTAAAGAAAATAAGTGTAAAATAAACAAAAAATATCTAAAATACATTTTCAAAAGTACCAAAAATCGCAAAATCGAGAAAAATTTATAAAATCAACTTTAACAATAAAAATAATAGCGTTTAAATAAACTTTGATCACCACAAGGTTCTATGGTCATCCATTGAATTTCACGTCGTGCCACTGTCAAGGAAGCAAGATATAAATTCATTGTTTGTAATTTGAATATTTTTATCATTTTCAAACAAAAACAAAAGGCAAAACGTGTTTTATGCAATCTATTTAGAATATAAAGATTTGTATTTGGTAAATAATTGTTTATTTTGCAGCCACTGTTTATTCATTTTCAAATTATGCATTTTTGGGCAACAAACAAAAAACTTATAGTAAATGTATAGAAATAATCAAAAACAAAGAAAAATATAAGTGTAAAGACATCATGATATATACCAATGTTAACACTTAAAACTATAATTTATAATAAAATAAATAAATATATTATTAATAATTTATCATGTTATTTATAATAGTTTTATAATTATAATTGTTATATATTATAGTAACAATCAACAGACATAATTTTGACACAATAACCATCAACAATCATATCTTTACTCCAACGTGATTTCATCGAATTGATAAGTGATCACATTAATATAACAATGTTGTGTAATTAAAACTATATTGTATTTTATGTATAATTATAATAAAAATGGTATAATCACCATATTTATAATGTTATCATAATAGAAGATACATAGTGTTTGTAATAAAGCGCGTTTTGACAGAAATACACAGTTTAAATTAAAACAAAACAAATAAGCATTAAATTTATATTAACGGAAACACACTGGTTTAGTGAATGATCAATAAAATGATTAATTGTGATATAATTGATGTAGTTGTTATATAGATAACAATTTAAATTATTTGGATGTTAGAATTGATTACAAACTATATTTATAATATTATTTTACCAATAATAATAAAAAGTCTAAAACAATAATAATATAATAATTAATAAAACAATAATTCATTTTTTAAATGACAATAATGGTAAAATAATGTTATTCAAACACACCAAATAACAAAAATATTAAAATTTTTGTTTTAAATAGTATATTTTTAAAGAATATTTTAAATTAACGACTATCTGTTATTCCACGACAATGGATCAATGAGGAATAGACAAACAAATGTCATCTATAATATTATTAACAGTTATAGTTAAAATATTAGATAATTTATAATGTATTGTTTATTCGATTGATTTTGTAACGAATTGTG